AAAATTGTATTTTTCCTGAGTAGCTTCATTTGTTACTGTTCAAATATCCCATATGAGGAACCCCTATCTCCAGGTTTTTGGCTGAATATAAAAAAGAAAACTGCCTATCTCCTTTTTTTATCATAGTAAATGATCTATGCTAAAATATTGTCCAAGCATATAGTTTTTAGCTGCTACAAGACACTTTCTGATCGTTTAACACAGTCATTCTTGTGAAAAATACTACAGTTCAATCTGATGTCGTTTTTTGTGTCTCCTGTAAAATTTATAGAAACGGAGATACGCATTTTGCCGATTAAGCCGACGATATAAACTAGATCCTTAACAAGTTCTAGCTCTCTAGTAGGAAAACAAAAAACTTTTGTACATACCTCTAGATGCGTCTATCCCCTTTTTATCCAGGTCTGTCGCAAAATCCATTCCTGGGTGACATCCCATGTTAATGAGCCGCCCTTTTGTCAAATTTTACGTTCCTAGGTCAATTAGTTTCCTAGATTCCGTAACTAGTGTGTGTGGATTTTTTCACTTTTATATTTACCTACCCTTAACTCCCGTTAATCCAGCCCCGACCGAGAAAATCCGTTTTGAGCTGACATATGATATCTCCATGAAGTGCTTCCCTGCTAAATTTCCTCTTCACAAGTCAAATAGTTTCTGATATACATTTCGAAAAACCCAACTTGAAAGCTACTGAGGTTTCCCGTAGAAATGCTCAACCCCCTACTACACCACCTTAAGGATATAGTTTCTGGAAATCATTGTTAATGTTTTTTTTAAGAGAAGTTATAGATAAAGCATAATTCAACTTCCAGGCTGGCATAATTTGAAATGTTCACGGTGCTTCAGCTTCAAGAATGTTAACCGCCACTTCACCCCTTAGGGGTATCTAGCTTGGCGGAAAACTTGATGTCTGCACATATCAACAAGTGGGAATACAATTTGTTCTCTTCTGAGACTACTGAAAGTTATGCTAAATTTGACTTATTCATTCCTTGATTTAATTTACCTATTTCGACTATCTTTTATCTTCGTGATTAAGTATTGATTACCTTGATTAGTTCGTTTATCTTATCTTACCTTTACGTTATATTTTCTTGGTTTTGTAGAATCATGATTTTGGACGTGTCATAACTCATGTCCCGATCTTGATCTTATTATTAGCTGATTTTGACTTTTTATACCGATTTGGACCTTTTATACCGATATTGACCTTTGGTGTTGTGTGGTTTCGATCAAGTTTTTTTTTGTATTTCAGGTTGATTCATTAAAGGATGTGTGGTGTTGAGTGCCGACGTGTGTCAGGCCCCATCGCCCTATCTAAATTTGTTTTTTTTTCTCTTTGTTTGATCGAATCCTTGAGTACCTTTTGGCGTGATCTACCGGATTTGGTTTACTTAGGTTTAGAATATTTTTTTTGTTTTGGTCTGAATTTTTGTGTGAATTTGGATATTCTTTTTGATTCTGATAATCAGCTTGCTTCTTGTTCCTATAGGTTCTTGGTAGCTCAGCGTTATTAATTATCGTCGGTTATCTACGCTGTAGATACCCTCCTACTCCAAGGAGAGGGGGGGTTGTCACGTTCCATAATCACGTAACCTCTTTTTTCTGTTTATCACTTATCAGTAATTTAAATTTCTCCTAATTGATAATAGAGTGCCTATTCCTAGGCCAAACCCCTTTTCAATGATTTTTTTGCAAATTTCATAGTTTATTGATTATGCAATTTCACTCGTATTATATCTATATCTTTCTTTCTCAGCAAAAAACTCTGCAGTTTTTCTCCGTTAGTTGGCTTCCTATAAAACATATCTTCTTCAAGGCCACTCAAGATTCCTTCCTCTAGAACGTTACGTATTCTGTGTTTCGGTTTTCAACTTCCGTTGAGGTCGTGGTGCAGGGGTCTTTTTGTCGTTCTCCGGATTTTGGGATATTAGGCCCCAAGCGCCCCCCTTCATGGACTAGCACCCTTTTCTTTTTGTTTTGTGACTTATGGGATTTTGACCCTCAGCGGTAAGTTCTTTTTTTATATACCTTCGGACCGCGTGCCTTAATGCGTGTAATGATGACGTTCATTCAATATCTGCTTTCGTTTTGTCAATAGAAACAGAAGAAAATCCTCGTCTTTTCTCCCTCAGTCGGTTGCATCGTTGCAGTTTTGCAAATTGGAAGCCATCCCCTTGAAGAAACCCTGATGTGAACAGGGTTTTTTTTTCCTGTTACCATCATAATTTTTGGGATCGAGGCAAGCAGCCCCTGCCCAGTCACGTGCCCACTACTGGCTTCCTTTTTTTTTTGTTCTTTTTGGCCAGGGATACATCTCGGCTGCGCCTATCCGTAACTGGGAGAAGACCTCCGCCCAGATAAGTGTAGTTTAGGCGTAAAACATTATGTAAAGCGTATACCATGGTAAACGCCAACTAATTTTATTTTGCGACAGTTTTTTTTTGTAATATCCTATCTCGCACTCCAGTGGTGGAGCATATGTGCGTTTTGTTTTCTTTAATCAATATATTGTGATCCATTTGATATCTTGTTTATTTTGCTCTCTCTCTCTGTGTACTGTTACTTAAATTTTGTCATCTCTGTTAGATTCTCCTTTTGTGTGGTGGTCAAGCAAAACAAGTTCCGACTAACGTCTCGGGGAGTTGTGGCTTAATCCGTCCTAAGTCACTGGCGCCCTTAACCCGCCCCTACTCTCCGCTTTATTGAGCTAGTGCCTAAATTTGCACGCCACCAGACAACTATTTTGCTTGGTCCAACCGTTAGATAGTATTTATCATTGTGTTTTATTAATTACCCAAAAAAAAAAGGCGTGGGACATTGTACATTTTACCAAGCAACCACAATAATGGTCACTTTTAAGCCTATTTCATCCCCAAAAGTTTTATTTTCGCGATGGTCTAAACTATACATGTACCGCCGTTTTGGCGTGATAACCAGACACATAAATATACTTACTCACTTTCGCATTTATTATATTAGTAGAAGGGATACTCAGTACATTGAAAAAAGCTACTGTGGCGTTTGAAATGGCAATGAATTTATTCCTGTAGAACAATATACATTTTATTTGTAAAAGCAATAGCGATTAGTTATTATAGTCCAGTGCAGAATTTTCTATACGTCACATATTATGTTTCAATTACCCCGAGATAAACGGAAAACACCAATTAATCCATCTCGAGAATCCCCTGATAAACGATGCCATTAAACTTGAGAGAAACGTTAGAAAATCGATTTATATTCTTCTTTTGGTGGCACATCGTATTCAGAAAATCGCCGAATTTCGATTAAAATTTCCATTCCATTTAGCTTGGTTGCCACCGCACTGTTTTACTGCTACCCTTAGAATCGGATGGAGTACAGCTTGCTGTAACGTTTATGGCTCTAAATACGGGGTTAAAAGGCTATTCTAAAATCTGGTTACGACAAGTTATATGTGTGATAAGAGGAAATGCTAACGTTCCAGGGAATAGTTAGAAATAAAAAACCTACTGCAAAACTTGGAGAAAGCCTGTGGTCCACCTATAGGTTCAAACAATTCATTAAAATTCCTTGTGGATGTACAACCAAACCAACTCGTCACAGGAAAATTCTGAAGACAGTCGCGATTCAACTTAATAGATTTTTTATAACACAGCATTTGTCTTTAAATTTTCTCTACGAATTAGCGGAAAAGTATACTTAATTCCTCCTTTTCAGTGCACGGATTTCTTTATGTCGATGGGCTATTGAAAAAGGACGCTGGCTGGATAGCGGCAGCCACTCACCCTAAAGCAGCCCATTAAACAATCTCATTTTTATTTTTAATCAAAGCTTTACAACATATATAACAATACACCGACTCGAAGCAAAACCAAGTAGAAGCTAAAACCCTTCCAACTGAGGCAAAGACCATGGACATCGACAAAGCCAGCCAGAGGTTCTCTACCTTTTTTGAAATGACATGCAAGCATTGCGTGAACAACCGGCGATTAAATTTTTTAAGTTAATGGTCCACCTTTTACAAATTAATCTTGTTGAACGCATTATGCCGGCAACAGATGCTGTACGGTAAATATATTTCTATTTAGAAGCAAGTCGAAATCTGTAATTTTAGCCAGTCGTAGATAAAATTTTGATATCTTGGGTTATATTCGCCCGCTTAGGCAATGCAATCCCGCAGGAGATTCTCAATCCCGGTATTTGCGGGACTGCACATTTTCGGTCCCGCGGGATACAGGTATTTGCTGGATCCCGCATAAATAATAAAATTACGCGAATAATTTATAACTTCTGACGGTACTTAATGAAACAAATCCAATTATATAATCAATGTTTTTTAAAAAACCTAAACCTTATTTTGAAAATAACTTCTCAAAAACGTTAAGGTGTTGATGGTTTCATCTGCTAAACGGCTCCTGACCTTACAAACAATATGAACACCAGCAGAAAATGCTCGTTCTGGTTCTATACTGTAGGAACAATCGTCATTAAGGCGTTATAAACACATTTAAGATATGTGCCTTTTTGTCCACCTAACTTAAAATAACTCATTTCCTTCCTTATTAAACTATCGAGATTATTATGACTAGATCTAACTTGGGGTGTTCCAGTAGATTTTAAATTCGTCAAAGTCAGCTCGACTTCGTCTTGAAGTAACAGTGCTGCTACAGGTGCTGGTGAATTTGACTCCAGAGTGGCGAGAGGTAGTTATGTCATCTTCAGATTCAGAGTCATCAACAGAAGGAGCGATGTGTGTTACTTCTCTTTTATTGAATTGTAATCTGTCTACAACCATTACCGCAGTCAAGTTAGTTCGCTGCTCTGCAATTCATTTCCTCAACGAGGTAACACGTTTTTTGGCTAATGGTTTGTTAAAGTCTCCCAATTTACGAACATCAAACCTCAAAGTAGTTTCGGCAGTCATCAAATTAGCGTTTGTTTGCTTCATCAAAATAAAACTAACAAAAGTCGTACGTAAACAAGTGCAAGCAAGCAATCAAAGCGATCGTCTATCGTCAGTCGGCGCGCACGCGCAGCCGTGCGCTACGTAACACATGAATTTCGCTTCTCTTCAATCCCGCTAATCCCGTGCTCATTTTACGAACGGGATTAATCCTGCACATGGCATGCGAGATCCCGGTATTTCGGGATCCCGGTATCCCGGTATTGCATTCACTACGCCCGCTCAACGTCCTAGATATATAAATAACTATTATCCTTATTGGATCACCTTCATTTTACTATGTACCTTGTCACGTGTTCACTAGATGCTGTGATTTCGTTAATATAAATGAATGTCATCGCCGATACGCACAATGAGCCTTGCCAAATTTCAAAATTTAAGAGTTAATTTTAGAAATTAAATATCACCTAAATTAATTGGAATCTTGCACTTAGGCAAATAGGCCTTAGTTTTCTTTATTTCAATCCATAATTTGAAATCAAAGCTATTCACATCACTTTTCTCCTGCTTGTGTGAGAGAAGTTAAAACTAGGGCCCTAAATTATGAGATGTAGCCCACTGCAAAATTGCTGGAGGCCTCTCCATTCCGCAGCTGTATTTTACGTTCCAAAAATTATTCTATCAAAGAATTTCACATCCATTTTTCGGGAGAGTTCCAGCAAACAAACAGATATTAAATACGAATAGCTGGAATTTTTACGCTTGCATCTGCAGTTATAAAAATTCTGCAGCTTCGGAATGAAACTGGGTTGCTGAAATTATATGGTGCGGTATTTCCTTGGAAGTTGTGCATTTTTTGAAATATCAGTGGAGGAAACTTTAGTATGTATTCTCTTCTATATGGTATGTGTAGTATATGGTACTGATGTAGACATGCATGTTTTGTGTTGATGTGAGATTTATCGTATAGATAGACTCGTAATGCATGTCTTACTAGCCTCGTCCATTTTTTAACCGTACTACAGAAACGATGTTTTCCTATAGATTTTAGAAAGTTGTTATTCATTCACATATCGAGTGGTCCAATATTGAGATTAGCCGTTAAGGTTGATCTAATAGATTTTTTACAAAACCACTTGACTTTATCAAAAGGAAATTATTATGGTGATTATAACAAAAAAAATTCCATGTTTTAAAATCTATTTGGATCAATCGTTTTCAAACACTAACTACCATGCTTGATAGGTGGCAAAACGTATGTAATTTAAAAGATTTCTAATAAAACAATCTACACAATAGAATTGAAATAATACGGTCTTCAGGGTTTTCCTTTATAAGACGGTTTTCCTAGTACAACGATTCTTCTTTGATTAACTTAATGTGCAAGTTGAAATTGTGGTCAGAAAACTAGAGCTAGCCTTAAAGTGTTAAATGCACTAGTACTAATATTTTCGAATAAAGTGATATTGTATATCCCAAGTACTCCTCTGTAACATAGTTTCATCATCGTCTGTAGGCATACCTACATTCCGAAACACTGTGTTCGACTCCTGTGGAACTATAGGGAATTTCCTCATAGCTCCGCTTTTGAGCTGGCATCCGAAATATGCGGACGAGCGTGTCTTCAAAGATACACCTTTCATCAAATCAAAATTCCGGTTCGATATTTCCAGGGATATTTCAGTAACCGCACGATATCTGCTGCCTACGTTACCCATGCGAACATGAAAATATTTCTCGAATTTTTTCATTACATTCTTACATGCACTCACCAAATGAATTTTTTGAAAACCCACACGTGTATTGACAGAATAAAGTTGGCAGTCTTCTTTCAAATTTTTGGTATAGATTGTGGTTTTAAAGATTTAGCTGATACTCGTATTCTTCAATCTAGCAAGTGTTGCATTATTGCTCTCCGATTTTTTCTTATTCACGAAGTGACAAAAAAATTTTAAAATGATACCCGATAATAGTAACGTTACAAAGATTTTCTAGCTATATGTATGTTTGCTTGGGTTAGGATAAAAAGCTCTCAACTTTCCAACCATATTGGTTAAATGGTTTTTTCACAAAGAAAGTCAGTAAGCAGTAGCTGTGTTCTGTAGCTACAATTGGCATTCTATCAGCGTACGATCCGTTGTAAACAGCTGCTTCAATCTATTCATTACGCTCAGAGTGAGAAGACAAGAAAATTCTTAACAGCATACATTTTGATGGAGGGCGAATAGTGGGTTTGTGTGAGGTTAACTGGTCCTTAAGAGAAATAGACAAGAGAGTGCACAGAAGTCTAAATACGTTGGGGTTTTGTTGTCGTGCGAGAACTGGGAGGGGCTGTACACGGAAAGAGGTACAGGGCGTATCAGAAGAACGGTCCTACACGAGGATCGCCCGCTTAGGCCTTTGGCACTACGAGACTGCTTCTCGTCCACAGGGTCAATTACGGGCCAATGTCTTCGAGAGCCGCTTTGTTAAGCTGTTTCCATCGTCCAGTTTCCTGGGTTGACCATATTATGAAACGATCACCTATTTCCACTATATTTCAATAAGGTTGCTCTTGGTTCAAGGCCACATGTTTCCGTGAAAATATGACATGCATTCTAGATCAGAGGTACTTGAAATGAGGTAATTTAATTTTTTCTAAAAAATATGTCTAAGAAACATATCAAAGCCACGATCCTCACTTCTACATAGTTACTCTTCAACCAAGCGCACTTTTGTGTGTATGTGATATCTACACCTTTAACCATATGCACACAATTTTCTAGCCTCATGCCCTAAGTTTCTTCAACGATTCAGTTCTCCCGCATGAATCAATTATGACCCTGTTGCCTATTTTTACTTTTCGATGACCCTATTTTATTCTCTATTTTACGGAATCTCGAATAAGCGATGTACTCTTGCTTTTCTTTGACACATCTCTTTGTTTTTCGAAATCATTCTTGTTACAGCCGCACATTTTCATGTATTCCACACTCTTCATCAAAATAAGCAACATTCTCCATGAGTATGTCGCGTTCGTTGATTTTACCGTTCCATGTTTTAAAAGTTTTTCGACCAAAATCTACCTAAAGAGTTTGCTTGTTTCTTCATCGGTTTTATAAAATTTGTGTTAGAGGAAAATATTCCAAAATGATGTGACTATAAGCAGTTGCAATATCTATTTGCGCTTGGCAAATAACACTGTAGACACAAAATGTATTAAAGCCGCAGACCATCAATGCCAGACAAAGGGTACACAAGACAAGCGCAAACTCATATCATTGTCACTCTCTTCGAGTGCATATTGCACAGAAAAGTTTCTATATGTTTCTAGCAAGGGTTTCAGTAATGAGACTGTGTGCAATATAACTGTAAATAGTGCCATACGATCTTGTTTGGAATGATGTGATACTTTTGGTAGACGTACCTAGCAGCTGTGGAGGCAAGGCCTGCCACCTAGACCACCTTTGGTCTTTGGCCAATTCGGGCACCAGCACTAAGGCTTATAAACAAGCAACATTAGTGCCCGAATTAAACGTTCTTAACTCAAGTTCAACTTTGACTAATGCCCATATGCATAATAATAATAATAATAATAATAATAATAATAATAATAATAATAATAATAATAATAATAATAATAATAATGTTTATTGGAGTATTGATACATAATAGAATCAAAATACGAGCAAAAAATATATCACAAAAAAAATAATACTCCAAAGGGCTGGGGATTGGCATAGCCATTTTTCACCCCCGCCTGAATAGCTAAGGTAAATTCATTAAGTGCATTACTATATCTTACTAGGGTATATCATATAGATTACATAAAAGATAATTGGTTGACTATAATAATGGTAACAAAACTTTAAAATATAATAAGATTAATAATGAGATTTATTCAGCCACTTGTGGATTCGTTAAATTGTAACTGTAATAGCATTCTTTTGAATTCTCTTTTGAAGCTGTGAATGGACGTTAATTCAAAGAAACTTGGGTAATCATTTAGTATACTGGGAGCTATGTAATAGAAACATTTTTTAAATTTTGAGGTAGTGTGGGCTGGTATATCATAACAATATTCATTACGGAGGAACAGTTGATGGAGTGAAGATCTTTTCTCTAATGTGTCAAAAAGATATTTCGGAGATTTATATTTTAAAACCCTAAATAGCATAGAGAAGTAACGAGCGATATTTGAACTTTAAAAGATTTTCCATTACATAAAACCCAGTAATGTGTTCGCGCCTGTTTATTTGTTTATTTGTTAAACTTGAATTTTCTGTTGCATTTACTCAGTGATAAAATGGTAATATACAGTACTACAATAATCTGAATGTGTGACGATTAATGCATTAACAAGTTTTAGTTTGATATCACTTGTTAATATACACTTATATCTCCATAGCGATTTGTATTTATAATAACATATTATGAGCTTATTTATAATGTGACTCTCAAAACTTAAATTCTTATCTAGTACTATTCCCAAATTTTTTGTTTCTTCAACAAATTCAATGTTAATTCCTTCCTTCCTTCTAAAAATATGTTCGTATTTATTACTTGTTTACACTTCAGAATCGCTAGTCTACAACCAACACAACATACTTTGATTTTCAAGGGATTGAGCTTCAAACAATGATTTTTTGAGTACTGTTCAATTATGCCTAAATTTTTATTAAGTTCTAATATTAAAGAATTTACGTCGGTTGGTTGACATGGTTTGTAAACTTGTACATCATCCGCATACAAATGTACATTCCAGTCAGATGATATATGTTTTATCAGATTTGAGGTATAAAAAGTAAATAAAATAGGGCCTAAAACGCTGCCTTGTGGAACACCAGACTTCAAAGCTCGTAAAGTAGACACTTTACCACGCAATTTTATACATTGAGATCTATCAAACAAGTAATTACTAAACCACAGCATGGCATTTCCGGTCAAACCATAATGTTGCAGTTTTTCACACAAAACTCTGTGATTTACCATGTCAAATGCCTTGCTGAAGTCTAGCATGACTAGTAGCGTTATCATGCCATCGTCTATAAATTTCACTATATCACTGGAAATTTTAATGAGCGCTGTAGATGTATTATGTAATTTCCTAAACCCAGACTGGGTGACCGGCAACACTTTGTTGATTTCTAGATGCTCACGAAGTTCATCATCTACAATTTTCTCTAACAGTTTGGACATTGAAGGTAAAGCACTTATTGGTCTGAGGTCCTTAAAATCGATGGCATTATTAACTTTTGCAAGTGGTGTTATGACTGTTTTTTCCATAATGATGGCACTTCCCCTGTACTCAATGATTGGTTGATGATACTGGTTAGCTGATATATACAAAAAGAGAACACGTTTCTCAACATATTTGTAGTGATACCGTCAACACCCGCAGCATTTAACTTGACTTCTTTCAGTTTTAGTTCAACTTGGTCTGATGTAACATGATTAAATGAAGACTTGCATACTATAGAATTTTTTTGATATGAGAATGTGTTAAGAAATAAGTCATCTGGCTGCAGGTTTGGTACAGAATAAAGTGATTATTGATGCTTTCAGCGTATTCAATGTCCTGTGATATGTGTTTACTGGATTTTGTGTATATATTCCACCTGGAGAAACTATTCCACATCTGTTTAGGATTATTATAATACTTGTCAAGCTGGAATTTTATGTAAGCAGTTTTTTCATTCTTCAAAGCTATTCCTAAATAATTTCTTAGATCATTATAATATGCACGATGTTCTTCATTTCTGGTTCTTCTGAACTTGTTGTATGCTTTCCGCTTCAAATTTATTATACACTTGATTGTATGTGTCATATAAGATCTGTATTTCTTACGTGAAGTAATTCTTTTCAATGGGGCATGTATATTGTAGAGCATAATAATAGTTTCGGTAATGTGAAGAACTTTGTCATCAAGACTTGGCAAACCATCTATGTAGCTCCATTCCACAGAAGCAGCATCGTTGGCAAACTCAACGTGATCGAAATGCGAGAAATCTCTGTAGTAAAATATTGCAGGTGTGTATTCCCGAGTTTCAATTTCCAACTTACAGAAGCACAATCTGCGATCAGTGACTTCTGGAATGTCTAGAGTTCCACACTCGTAAACAGTGAGTGTATTTGTTGTAAAAATGGTATCGATCATTGTTGCTGTATTTGCTGTTATTCTTGTTGGTTCATTAATTACGCGGTTCATGTTGAATAGAGACATCATTTGCAAAAATTGTTTGCTTTGACCAGCATGCTCATCGGTGAAGTCGATGTTGGTATCGCCCAATAGTATTGCTTCATCATGTGTGACGTATATAAAGGCAAGGATATTTTCCAAATCAGATAGAATGTTCAGTCGACTGGACGGTGGTCGGTAGATAACACCTACTGCAATACTCTCGAATTTTAGTGACAACCAAAGATGTTCAATGCCATTTGAAGGCATATTCCGAAGATCTATAACTCTGTACTTTATGCTAGACTGGATGTAAAAACATACACCACCACCTCTTCCTCTTCCTTCTCTATCGTTTCTTATAAGCTGGTAGTTACGCAGAGAAATCAAATCAGAGGGGAAGTCTGAAGAAAGGCAAGTCTCAGTTAACGCTATGATGTGGAAATCTTGTTCTAGTATGGTGTCTGCTAACATATCGAAGCTTGAGATTAGTGTCCTAACATTGGCATGGGATACATTTAATCTATTGTTCTGTTTTGTAAAGCCTCCGCAGTTAATTGGAATAGTATTATTTGGCGTAACTTTTAAATTGCGTCTTGATTGCTATATAGAATAGTTGATGCTGTTCCTGGCTGTTTCAATCTTCTTCCTCATGACTGAACAATTAATTTTATCGAAAGCAGCGTGATCAATACTAAGGCTCAACTTAATTTTTTTGTTAAATTCCAGACAATTCGGGCAAGACACTTTAGAGTTTAAACATTTGACGCTTTAATCCAGATTGGGGAATCCGGATCAGGAACGCCAGATTCGAATATGATGCACGGACCACTTTTTAATCGCGATTACCTAATCGTTGAACAAAACGTGGCAATATTACAAATTTATAGATTCTGTCAAAAATTTTTGAAACTTGACAGTTTGTTCATGAGGGTTATCAAAATAGAAAAGAATCGGAATAAAAGAGAACCGAACTTTACTGCTAATGAAAGGATGCATTTATTTAATGTTATAGTGCGCAGCTAGGCGGACAGCAAGACCGACAGAGCCTCTATAATGTCCAAAAGCAATGCTTGGAACCTTATGGAAAAGAATTTGACTCCTATTCTCCATCTACTGCATGAATAAAAGCCGAATCATTTATAATGTTGTATGAAAATAAGAAAAAATTAAGAAGGAAAATAGGTGAGGAGAAAACTAAAGATTTTTTAAGTGCAGCTCCACAGAGGTCTAAAAAAAGACCGAAGCAAGTTGTGACTGCTTCAACATCTTCTGATATTGCCTCTTAGTACTATCTACTCTTAGACAAAAGACTGACTTTATTGGAAAAACAAATACAAGCGACCGATGAAGAGCAAGAATTTATAAAAATGGAAAGAACACTTAAAATAGATTTGCTTCAGTTAAAAATTTCCAATCAAAAACTAAATTTGAATTCCAATGCCTTACAATGAGAATTTTTTTTTTTTTTTTATTTAACAGATAGTACCGCATCAACCTCGTAGGGTTATTAGCGGCGTGGACGGCACAATAATCTATGTATTGAAGTACATGTCAATGTCTTTGATAAATTTCACAAGTTTATCGGTTTGATGCAGTAACACTTCACTGATGTCATTAGAAAGGTGGTTGAGACTTCTGGCATTTTGATAAGTAGGGCACTCCATCAGGATGTGAACCACCGTGAGCCGCTGGTTGCACGTTGAACAAACTGGGGCATCGGTTCCTTCGAAGATGTGCTTGTGAGTCACTAGTGTGTGGCCTATCCGGAGACGTGACATAATTATCTGGTTCCTTCTTCCTGAAGGTAGGGTGAATCGCGTGTTGACATCTGGAGCAATTGCGAGTAGTTTGCTGTGACTGCCATTCCATTTCTGTTGCCAAAGACTGGTTATGTGCACTTTTATTAGTCCTTTCAAATCTTGGTAGGGTGTACGAATCACACTTCTGCTTGAAGGGACTGCCGCTCTTGATGCTTCTTTGTCAGCCTCTTCGTTGCCTGGGATTCCAGTATGTGAGGGTACCCACAGAAACTTTATCCTCTTCTTGTCGTTGTACAGCAGACGCAGCATGTCCTTAATTCCCCTGAGTATGCAGTTGCGAGGGTACAACTGTTTGATACCTTCCAGTGCACTCAGCGAATCCGTCACTACTAAGAAGTTGGCATCTGTTGCTGTTCGTGCCAGATTGAGCGCTTCCTTGATGGCTGTCAGCTCTCCAGTGTAGACGCTGCAATGTTGTGGTAGTGAAGAGGATATTCGTTGATTGTCAGAGACTGCGGCATAGCCAACCCCATGTGATGACTTTGAGGCATCTGTAAAAATCAGTTTGAAGTTCGGATGAGACTCGATGATGACTTGGTATCTGTTATATATTTCTCTATAGTTGGTTTGCATTTTTTGATATATCTTGAGGGTTGTGTCGAAATCTGGTAGTGGTAGTGTCCAGGGTGGAGAGTTTGATGAACAAGGGATAATACTGCTAAAGAGATCTGAATTGAAGTTAGTCTCCTTGATTCTTTCTGCCATTGTGAAATGTTTGGTGTTGTGGGAAGAATGAGTATCCTCTCGGGTAAATATGACGTTGAAAGCTGGATTATTTGGTGTGCTTGCTGTTCGCGCCGCGTAGCACAGAGTTAGATATTGTCTTCGGAGGCTTAGAGGCGGTTCGTTAGCCAAAACGTATATGCTGTCAATAGGGCTTGTTTTAAGAAGTCCCATTGCGAGTCTAATTGCTGTGTTTTGGAGCACATCAAGTTTTTTTAATACAAATTGGCTTGCAGTTCCATAGCAAATGCTACCGTAATCTATCTTACTCCTTATGGTGACTTGGTATAGTTTTAGCAAAGATATGGTGTCGCTTCCCCATGATTTATTAGCTAGTACTTTCATGAGGTTTAATCTTCTCTGACATACAGATATTATATGCCTGATATGGAGATTCCATTTTAAAGTAGAATCAAATATCATCCCCAAATACTTGATGTTGTCTGTCATTTTGATTTCGTTATTATTAAATGTAAGGGCTGTGTTGGTTGTTTGAAGTTTGGATTTGCTGAAGATTATAAACTTGGTCTTGTCAGCTGAGAATTGGAATCCTGATTCCATGGTCCAGTGTTCTATTTTATTAAGTGTTTCTTGAATTATTGCTTTGCCGGTGTATATGTTATTAGTGGTTAGGTATATAATCAGGTCGTCGGCATATAAGAGATATCTTATAGGCAGTTTAAAAAGTTTGGTTATGCCATCTATGGCTATCAGAAATAGTGTAGTACTCAGCACAGATCCTTGAGGTGTACCATTTTCTACGCTCTTAGTATTGGATGTGAAACCGTTTGTTCTAACTTTTATAGTTCTGTTATTTAAAAAGTTCTTGGTGAATGCTAGTATGTCACCACAGATACCAATATTCAGCATAGTTTTCAGAATTAGATGTTTCCAGGTCATATCAAATGCCTTATGTATATCGAAGAATACTGCAAGTACTTTTTGGTTATTAGCAAAGGCTGCTTTTATGGTCGATTCAAGAACAACAATGTTGTCAATGGTAGATCTGTTGCTACGAAAACCATTCTGATTATTGCTCAATAACATTTGTTTTTCTAGAAACCATACTAACCGTTTGTTGAGGATTTTCTCAAGCAGCTTACACATAGTACAGGTAAGGGATATGGGCCGGTAAGAATTGGGTATATCTTGAGGCTTGTTCGGTTTCAGAAGTGGAATTACAATCGCTTCACTCCATATGCTTGGAAATTGTCTGGATCTAAGAATGAAGTTGTATATATCTTTTAGCATGTGTTTAGCATTGGATGGGAGATTTCTTAATAAAATATATGGGATGTCATCAGGTCCTGGACATGAACTTGTTGATGTAGTTAGTGCTTCCTCGAGTTCTTCAATAGTGACAGCGTGGTTAAGCGGTTCATCGTCGTCGGGTACAATTAAGTTTTCTTCTTCAGTCTGAAGCTTGATATGTAAAAATGAACCATCTAGGTTGTCGTTACTGGATGATGCTTGATAGAAGTTAGCAAAGATTTCTGGAATCTCGGCTTTCTGGGAGACTATTTTCCATTCGACTGTTACTGTATCTATTTCTTGATACGTTCGTGCACCACTAATTTTCCTTATCTTCTTCCACATCTCCGATACCAGGGTTGAGGGTTTGATGGATGATACGTATGATTGCCAAGATTGTTTTTTGTTTTTCTTGATGAGATACCTAGCTTTGGCTCTGAGCTTCTTGAAGTTGCATAAGTTCTCCTGTGTGTTATGTCTTTTGAGCTTATTGAATGCGTGTTTGCTGTCTGACAGTGACTGTGAAATTTCATTGTTCCACCATGGAACAGGTGTTTTGCTTTTTAGGGGCTTCGTTTTACCTACAGCTACAACAGCAGCCTCCTTCATCATGTGGGTGAAGTTGTTTAAAGTTATATTAATATCTGTTATTTCTATTGTGTTTATTTTTTCTTCAACTAAAAGTCGATACTCGCACCAATTAGCACCTTCAATTTTCCATCTTTGTGGTGGTAATGAAGTAACTCTGTTGTCTCTACTGTGAGCTATTCCAATCGGATAATGATCACTGTCATATACATCTGGTACTGTACTCCATGAGAGAAAAGGTGCTAGGGAGGCGTCACAAAGAGATAGATCAATAGATGAGAAACTTCCGTTAAAAGCATTAAATCTAGTGTTGCAGCCATTATTCAGTAGAATTAGGTTGTTTTGATCAATAATGCTTTCCAGGTCTGCACCATATTTATTAGTACAGTCTGATCCCCAGATTACGTTGTGGCTATTGAAATCACCTACTATTATTCTGGGTGTAGGGATTTGTTGGATCAGATTGTGTATCAGATTGAAATTTATATCTTTAGGGTGGGGTATGTATATGTTGCAAATGTTTACCTTGGTGTGATGTTTGATAGTTACAGCTATTGCTTCTAAAGGTGTAGTTATTGGTAGTAGTTCTGTATGAATATTGGTCCTAGTTAGTATGGCTACACCTCCAGCTGCTTTTCCTTGATCTTCACGATTCTTGTAGAAACCTTTATAGTTTCTAGGTGCATAATCGTTTTTAGTGTGTTTAAGGTGGGTTTCCTGGAGACATAAAACTGAAGGATTTTGGTCTTTTATTAGTAAATTAAGTACTTCTTTATGAGTAAAATAGCCGTTGAGATTCCACTGAACTAGGAACATTGAGCTCATTTGCTTAAAATGGAAATGCTGGCTAGTATGTTTGGACAGAGGAGTGTGAGGCATCGCTGTCCTCGGATGATTCGCTGTCTAATTTCTTTGATACTTTTTTCTTAATTTTTGTGATCCGTATCTTAGTTTTGCGATCTTTTATATGGTCATAGAGCTCTGTTAAGAACGTGATTGTTCCAGAAATGTCGCTGGTGTAATTTTTCAAAGTGGCGAGTATATCTTTCGAATTGTAGGCATTTGCTATCATGTCTAAAATTTCTGTTTTGTTCATTCTGATTTGGTCATGCTTGGATTTTATGAAGTCGGCCGCTATCTCTAAGGGGTCTTCTGAGGCATCTATTGTTTTTACTTTTTTGGTAGGTGCTAAAATTGGTTCATGATGGGGTTGGATATCAGGAGAAAGCGATAATTGTCTTTTTGGCTGGTTAAACAGTGCGTCGGCTCGTTTATCTTTTTCAATTTGTTCTGGAGTGCATTGTGAAGCATGTGGTTGAGTTATTGTTTGTTGGGAGTGAGTTTCCGATATATGTGTATTACTTAATTCCATGGCGGTACTCCTTTCGGAAGTAGTGTTAGCTTGGCTGTCATTTACATTATGCGACATGATTGTTTCAGATGTCTCAGTTTGTCGGTTAGGGCATCGAACAAAGTTGTGCCCTGCTTGTTTACAGTGCGCGCAGGTACCGCTGTCAGATGATATAAAGATGCGATATGTTGTATCATTGTAGGTGAGGGTTGTCGAGTCTGGAATTGCATTTTCATTGGGAGCGATGAAAACCTGACGACGGAAGCTCAGTACATGGCTGTATTCGCGGTCGGACTCAGGCATGCCTACTCTTAGGTGTGTCATGCGCGAGATTATCTTTATTCCCAGATTCTTTAGCGAGTCCTCAATAGTGTTATTAGGAATTGATGGGCAGACGTTAGAAATCACTAGTCTCTGAGATGGAGTTACTAATCTTCTGATTTCAATCTCATGCTCTTGGATTCTGATAATCTTGTGGTTTGAGATGATTGAGTCTACTGTCGCAGTGCTATTTAGATATATGCATATTCGGTTATTTGAAATTCTTGATGCGTATAGTATGCTTTTTGGACCTACAATTGAACCAATAGTGACAATGTAGTCTCGGATCTTGATACCATCGATAGATGTTAACAGTATTGCTTGTTCTTTGGACGGAGTTTGTATTGTTGGTTGTTGTAAGAGTGCACTGGAGTAAGTGGGTTGGCTGATTAGGGTGTTGTTAGAATCTGCGTGAATCATTGTGAGTCTGCGAGGTTTACTTCTTTCTAGATAGACTAGTCCGGTCCTGTTGATACCACCTTAGTGCGTAGCATGCGAGCATGCCTAGCAGCGCAGCAGGGCGACAACTCCTTGCCGAGTTTACCGGCGCGGCGTTTGTTTACGTTGGGATCGGCAATTCAATATATTGTATTATGTACGTTAGGTCACTTACAGGATCAGCGATTCCAAACGGTGGGATAATCCCGTTGTTAATACTTGGCGTAGATGCACTTTCACTTATTAGTTTCCACTAGTTACTTGGAAAAAGAAAAAGATTTTCACAGCGTACTACAAACCAGACTATCAGTTTGGCGGACAGGGCCGTCTTCCAATGAGAATTGTTGTTGTGTTAAGTTACTTATATGTAGTTTTTCCACAAATTGTGGGTTTATTATACAGTGTGAGTCTTCATAAAGTGCACATAGCAAAATTAAGGAAACTACACCTTATTTTATTGACGGAAAAATTATCAAAAAAAAATTAAAAACCATAATTGATTTTTTATGAATATTTTAAAATTTTTAGAGTCAGCTGCTAACCCTATTTAAATAAATCGTTACAACTTTTAAACTGAATGTCCTATCATATTGGAATAAATTTTGTAGTGATTGCAAATGATGGGCCGTACCAGCAAAGTGAAAATTTCCACGAAATTAAATGCTGTAAATTTAAAATAAAAAGGAATATGCTGAAACTCACCATTTTTTCAATGATTTTTAAAACAATTGCTAAATTTCAATAAAACTTGTCCTATTTACCCTGCCTTTTTTAAATGTTAAGTTATTTTACATGTTATTAGCTTCCTAATGGTGAAAAATTGCAAGTTTAGTACTTAGATACAAGTTTCTAAATCAGCGTTTCAAAAAGCAGTGAACTCAGTTCAACGCCAGATTAGGAATAAAACAACAGTACTAACCTACATGAATCATTAATTATCTTTAACAAATAAAATCAAATGAACTTGTCTATAGGATAATCATCTTGGCTTAATGCACCAAATGTTCAAAATGGCCACCCCGTTGCTGCAAAC